TTTATCTTACCCTCTCAATACTTTCAGCCTTGTCGTGATATCTTGAAAAGCTTACTGCGTAATTTAGGTGTGAGTGTGGATATACACTTACTTTCGCATCTACACCCACACCCACACCCTGGTGGGCCTTGCGTCATTTTATAGGGGAGCCTCTGGGCTATCTTTTGCATAGTTTAGATATATGTCTCTACTAAACTTGAAAAAACGGCTTCAAACCTTTTAAAAGATTGATGATGATGGAACACTGAATCTACTTGAATTCTCAGCGTTTATTGACAGATATATAGAGTACTCAAGTATCTACATAATGGTGAAACCCGCAGCTCTCTAGCTCTTGCTGTTCTCGAGTTATTTGCAAAAATGCCCGAGTCCACTTTTTTTTGGACAATCAGTAGTCTAGTTGTCACCAACTTTAAACGTAATAAAAAATGCATTGCCGTTAGAATTCAATGCAAGTATATAAGTTTGAACATTATCATAACGTTATTCGAATCTCTTCCTCTTAAAGTGTTTTTTCCGTACTTTCATACTATTTCTGTTTAGTCTTTATTAATAACCACATTTTTTTTCATAGTGTGTGGGTGTCGGCGTCTGCATTATTCTAATTCATTGCCTACACTCACACGCACACCCTCACGAACCATAATCAACACATTTAAAAATGCTTTTTAAAGAAATTATTGAAAATTTAAAGGACAAATTTATCGACAAGCTGTCTTCAGAAGAAGGGATACTAAGTTTGTCCGACTTACAACTGATGGTAGGTGGTAGAACAATAGATGATGAAGAAGATGTTGAACGTAATGCCTTCTCGTTGCTCATTCAAGCATCTCCAGAATTATCTAATTATTTATCCAGGACGATGGTTCCTGAACCAGGATTCCATGAATTTCCAGCAAAATTCATGAGAAAACTCGCAATTTCTGAGCGGAACCCGTCCTGAAAAACCCAGGAGTCCAATGGAGAAGTGAGATAACCGTATCCGGCTGCCGGTTTTGACATGTCTCTGTCGATTCCGGTCCAAACCAGATGAATCCGGTCACCGGATTCGTTCAACGAGAATACTATTTCCATGAAATCTCCAGAATACCACGGAACCGACCGTTTCCGTGCCGGATTGTTCGACCTGGATAATAACATCGATGATGACTGATGAAGTTGTCTATATTTATTTAATCAACTTGTCAATCGCACAGTGATCATCAAACAAGTTGTATTTGCAACATCAGATAATTATGACGATGTTGTATCTCTTGGTAAGTTATTTTCAAAATATATTTTCCATATAAAAAGAGAATTTTAACGGGTTTTAAGATTAAAAACTAAGAGAGAGAAAGAGGAGTGAATTGCTTCGCATATAGCAAAGTGGCTATAAATACCATGGTATAGGTTCGATTCATAAGTGAAGCAAGCGTTTTTTAAATATTTTTTTTTGTTCTCCTCTATTAGTTTTCGATAATACTGCTCTCTCATAATTATTAAAAGTACTTAATAAGATTGAAAGGAAGAATAATTATTTCTAAATAAAATATGTTATTTAAACAAAATAATTTCTTTTTTTTATATTAGGTTTAACAACACCTATTCAACAACCAGGTGTAAACAAGAGCATTTAATTGTTTATTGGAAATTAAATGAAGATGATCCATCAATTGAGTTAGTACATATGAACATTAATGTATCATCTAAAGAACAACACGAGTACCAATGGATATTTCAAGAAAATAATATTTTCGAGATACGAAATACCATTGGTAATGATAATTATAATTTGATGTGAATTCACTGGGGACAGCAGTATTAAAAAATGCATAAATATAGGGGTATATTACTGCTATGAAATATATCAAAAACTTTTATTAAATTTTATAGGCTTAATATTTATTCGAACTTTCGGTGTAACAGACGTCATTATCAAGAAAGAAAAATGTAACAATAAACAACAGGGCGGGTGTGGGTGTTGGTATTTTATTTTATTCATAGCGATACCCACAGTCAAACTCACATCTACTCCACACTCACACCCACACCCACACCCACACCCTCAAGATGACACCAATGAGCATTCTTTAACAGATAAATCTGTAAATAAAATACTAAATTATGTGTCAATTCAATAGTTTCTAAAAAGTCATGTAATAGACAAGAAAACAGTTAAAAACCATCTTGAGGGTGGATGGGTGTGGGTGTAGAAGAGATAATCATATCCTAATTAACCCCTCAACCCATCCCATCCATCTTATGATGATGTAGGTGTTCTATTTTATTCATACCCACACCCACCTTTTTCATAATCATTCTCGCCCGCACACACACTTACATATACATACAAAAATAAAAAACTAACGATGCAAAGCCCATCTTTTAAGTTAACTGTATATTTCATTCGAAATTTCAATCCAGCGTCTGGTTTATTTGATTATAAATAAGTATAGTATTTATCAAATAGAAAAAGAAAAAACTGGTCAGATGAGCTGCATCTAAACATGAAGTCATCTGTTGTACACACAACTGGATCACCTACCCTCCTAAACATTTTTGTTGACCAGGTGTATAACATTGTCCATTGCATACTTCTTGAGTCCAGCCGCAAATTGT